GGTGGTTTGGTGTGTCCCCTGGTGGCTCTGATGTCGCAGTGTGTCCCCATGGCCACCGGGTGCCACTGTCGGGCCGTGCTGGCCACCGCACCTCTTTCTCCCTCCTTTGTCTCTGCACATCTTTCCCCGGTTTTATTTTTTTGGTGGGGTCTGGTCTCGCTTGGCTGAGAGCCCATCAGTGCCTTTTCTGAGGCACTTTTCTGTTTTTCAGGGTCTRTTTTGTTGGCAATGAGTGGCTGTCCCCAGCCAGCCCCACCAGCCACTCAGGCCACAAACAGGACCAGTGTGGGCTCAGCTGTTCCCTGCATTTCTAGAATATTTATCAATAATTGCACACTATTTTTAGTGCCCCTTTTTCTTCCTCCTCCATCTCTTCTCTGCTGGCCTCAGTTGCTTTTGCTGCTTTGGGATTTTTTGCCTTCCAGTGCTGCCCACTGCTCTTCTCTGTGCTCAGGCTTCATCACACAAGGTCAGCTTAGAGAAATGAGGGATTTTCCTGCTCCAGGAGCAGCTTTTTGTCCTGAAATCTCCTCTTCCCTCGCTCTGAATTTCCTGGGACAATGTCCTGAGCTCAGTTGTGCTCCTCAGGCTGATGAAGAGTGGAAAATGCACCGTGTTCCTCGAGCAGAGGGCAGCAGGGTCGGGGGAAATTCAGCTCCTTGGTGGTGCTGCAGGGATGAATTTGGCTCCTGGTGCTTGGGGCAGCTCCCTGCTGTCCCTGGAGGTGCTGCCAGGGATTAATTTGGCTCCTGGTGCTTGGGGCAGCTCCTTGCTGTCCATTTGGGGTGCCCAGGGGCTGCTGGTGGCACGGGTGTGTAGGTTCAAGGAGCTCTGGTGTTGAACCCAGGACATGGAAATCTCAAAACTCTGCCTGTGTCCTGCTTGAGTCTTCTTTGTTGTTCTTGACCATGGTCTGCATTCATCCCGTGCTTTCCTGTGTCTTTTGTAGCACCAACTCTTCCACTGAAAAGCTAAAAATGCATTCCAAGGGCAAAGCCCAAAGGCAGAATAACCCAGAATGTCCCTGGAGGTGAACCAGGAGCAGATGCCACAGAGCCCTTAGGAGARCATTCCCTTTTGGAGCTGCTGTTTTATGATGCCACACATTTTTCCCCCACTTCCTCAGATATTTTTAAACCCTTTGTCCCCTTGTGTCAGATTCCTGTGAACCTTTGAGAACCCAAATTTTACTGAAGCAAACATTCACGTGGAGAAAGCAGCAAACTCATAATGGCTTAGATTCTAATTAGGTTTTTAAATTTACATTTAAATTCTTTGTTATTGGTATTTAACCCTGCTATGCTTTCACTTAATTGTGGCAGAAACAATTCCAATTGCTCCTTTTGAGCTGCCTGATCACAGCTCAGGCTCAGATTTTGTATTTTTTGGCCATGGCAGGATTGCCATCAGCTGCCCACAGGGAAGCAGAGAGGACAGAAAAGCTGTTAAATCTGCTGGCAACCTGCTCCTGGTGGGTTTTGTGGGCAGAAACTGTTTGGGAAATTATTTGTTTAAATTAACAGAAAACATCCTAATGGGAGAATCCCCACTGGACAGCGAGRGAAAGTCGTAGGGAGAGAAGCAGCTTCTAATGGAAATCCCTGAGGGTTTTTTGGGTCCATCAGCATCCCTGTGCCCAGTGCAGGGCAGATGAGGAGTGCAGGGGCACCATCTGGCAGCAAATGGGGGCTGTGAGCC